CGGGTACTAAGTGACCGGCTGTACTACTGGAAGTCTTTGGGGAGGGGAGGGATAGCAAGGAAGCGAAAAGAATCTTCTTGAGTATTTTGCCCTTCCTATTCTTGGACATTTCTATATATTCTTGTTATATCTCAAAGTAATTCAATATTATTTCATTATTTACGGTCTCTTGTTACTCTAGCTCTAATATCGATATATAATAATCTTGCTATGAAGCTGCCACGTCAGCCAAGACTTTCTAAGCCTTGGCTACAGACCGCGTCATTTACAAAGTATTTCAAATAAACCAATTAATGGAATTGCAAACGAAACAATTGAATCGAATTCTAACTTTCTGTCTTCGGAATTGTCCGCTATTTACGAAACGAGTAGACAGGGAGTTATTGTTTGTACATCCTTTTGTTTATTGTGTCCATTGTTACCGAAAATATCCCTTTTTACCTCACAATAATTGCGTTTAAATTGTCGGCTGCTGAGTGCTGCGTTATTAATCAAATTAATTGAACTTTTGTGAGCGGTAATTTGGGTTTGACCCGGTCGCGAAGTTTCGCCACTGTTAATCCAACTTGTATGACGTCCCTGCGTTTGGAAGGATACATGGCGCTTAAAATGCTATTGACAGCATACACGTAAGAAAAAATACAGTTTTATAAGACTAGATAGTAAAAAACTTCATTCAATGGGGACTAAAAGTTTATCTTTAGCGAGAAACTAAATTATTAAAAAATATATCGGTTAGTTATTTCAGGGAAACCTTTAATAGTTCAACAAGATCATATAAAATATTATATAACAACTGACTAAGCTTATAAAAATAAGTTCCTTCTTCAAATAAATCACATATAACGGTTTTAAATGGGAAATATCTTAGTAAACATATTAACAAAAACTACGGCCCTTCGTTTCTTTAACATTAGGAACACCCTCTGTCTTTAGTCCCCCCGTGACCACGGCTGCTGCAAAGCATCTGAAACGCGGTAGTCATGCTTAATTGTAATAACTCATAGGTTTAAAACGCGTTAAACTGTTATTAGTGTTTTTTTTATGTTACGGTTGTTAGTTGTTTACAGACCACCATTGTTTTTTTAACAAAGAAAAAATACACACGATGATAACAAAAGATATTCAGATTCTAGCTATAAAATCATTTGACATGAATTATATTACATTGTATTAAACTTGTAAGCAAGATTCAGGTCAAAATATGGCAGTTATTGATACATTGGGATATACATACCTGATAGACATACCTGAATACGAAATAATGAAGCTTGGGCATTGAATTTACCCAAAATAATGACAGGCTCGAGGCACATTTTAGGTTAGGCTGAGCTAATCTGTCACTCGACGATTAAGGTCAATAATAATAAACCACCATTATATAAAGTGGCGTACTACGATAAAAAGTGAAAGATATTTTAAGGCGGTGGAAAAACTCATTTCTTTAATGGGTTTCCTGTGAAAATGGCCGATAAAATATAAAAACAGTGCGGAAACTGTACTTCGGCTATTCCCTCAGAGAGCAAATAGTACCAATGGGTCCGAAGTCGTTTTGACAGGAAACTTATATTAACATATATATTTTTTTGATAGAGTAGAATTTACAAGTAGAATTCATTTAATGGTAGGTAAAAAACCTCACCCATATAACGTCTTAAGAAAATGCGCCGTCGACCTATTATAGATTTGGATATTCGGAAATCCACAGACTCAAAAGGCTTAATCTTCTGTGGATGGTGGTTCGTGGCCCCGGACAGAATTTTTTACCCATATAGTATCCCGATTTACAGACGAACTCCAATATTTTTCAGAAATATTATAAATTGATTAAAAACGTGTTGCACTCGATGGGGATCAAAATCACGGTCCGTTGATTACAGTATTAATATAATTTATAATGCATTAATTATTATCGTACAAAAATATATACTAGTACTTACTTGTAGTTCAAAAGGAAATAACCCTCCCACGATTGTACGACAGAATTGCTGGTCCAATATTCATAATCAACGGGTCATGGATTTGACTCTCTTTGGGTCGAACATGAGCATTTTGTTTAGATGCTATACGGGTGTAAATTTTCACTATCAAGGTAATCATTAGATGGACTAGTGACCTTAAAAAATAGCATTCAATACATAAAAAAACGTACATCCATCAAGTTATTAAAAAACCTCGTTACATTGATAAAAGTATTCATTGACATGGAGTCATTGGGTCCGTTTAAAAAGTGCAATATTTTATTTTATACAGAGACTATTAGTTCCAAATGACTGCAATTTTCCGTTCGCCCACTGAACTGGAAAGCCTCGTTTTACTGAAATGAAAAAAAGAACCTCACCTAGATTATACCATATTGCCTTGCTCTGTAGTCTGTGGTCTTAAAAAATAACAGTTCCACATCTGAAATCTAAACTAACGTAACTGAACCCGACTGTTTTGCCTACCTCGCACATCTCATTTTTATTGCCGTTTATCTTTTTGTTGCTTGAGAGATCGCTTGTTTGCCATAAAATCGCCCATTGTACATACCTACTACATTCCAGACTTATCATTGTATCACTATTTTTTATTTACTGCAATAAAATGTTAATACATGAAAATAAACATGTATCTATTTTAATTTGCTTGACAATGCAAGAAACATTAAAAATATTAGCTTTTTACTAAATATTACGTGTTTGTTATTCGATGATATTTAAACATCTTTAAACATATTCAAATACTAGCTTTTGCCCGCGACTTCGTTCGCGTGGACTTCAGGTTCGTCCCGTCTAGTCTAGTAATCAGTTAGAAATACGGAAACTAAGCACTGCAGAGCCCTAATCATAGGTCTATAGGTCGCTACTGCAGTATGCTCCTATAAACTACATTTAACGATCTTTTTCCTTCAGCATAAACATGCAGATTCCTCGCTTTGGAAAGACGTGAGCAAGCCACATAGAGCTGACCGTGAGAAAATTTTTATGTTTTTTAAAAAACGGCGAGACTCATCTGTTTCATTTGAAAAAAAAGTTCTTTAAGAGGTTCAACAGGCTCGTCTATTGAAGGAAGAACTACTTTTCCTCCCGAACAACACATGCCTCCTGCTTCCTCTTTCCATTTAAGAGCACCGCAAAATCTGCATTCTTTATTCGTCGCTTCTATTTTTATAAGCTTGTGGCTTTCGTAATCAAGAGTTTCATCGTACTCAAATGCAGTTTTATCGAATGCTGTCGATCCTGCTACTGTTCGGGTGTCTCAGAAGCCTGTTGAGATCCCAGATATTCAGCGTTCTGTTGACGTCGAGATTGAGACTGTTCGGGTGTCTCTGCAGCCCGTTGAGATGCTAGATACTCAGCATGCTGTCGACGTCTATCTTGGGACTGCTCTGGTGTCTCAGCAGCTCTTTGAGCTGCCTCACGCTCTGCTTGTTTAAGCCTTCGCAGTTCGGCTTGTGGAAACGTCTCGTTAAGTCTAGCTACTTTCATATTTCGAGTTTTATCAGAGCTTCAGAAAGATTAGACTTACGCTTTCGCGGCATAATTCTTAAGTACGTGTTGTTTCTATACTTCCAAAAAATACAGTACGGTAGTTATTGTTATGATTGTACTTTAATGCAATCCTTGCCTATTTAATTAACCTATCTATATAGTAATTGAATTAAATGAAGTATCTTTTTGTACGTGTAACTCCTAACCAAAAAGAAACCTGGCAATAACAACCTTAGGCTTATATAACTAAAAGTAGGCGACCATACGTTTTTATCAAATCGCTAGTGCCTTGAAAATTCGCAAAACGGACACAACCGTCAACGACGTCTGCCCTCACGCGTCTGCCCGATTTCGGGTCGCGCACTCAGCGATGAGCCACTTCTTCCCTACCGCACCTACCCCGCTCCCCCCACGCCCCGTTCGCCTGGCACCGCTGCCGGTATTTATCGCCGAAATTCCTATGACTCTGCATTTTAAATCTGTGATATCTTCGAAAATATTTATTTAATTTACATGCTGTAAAAAGCCATATTGATCTTTAATAAATGCACAATGTATTTAAGATACTTAATTGGATAAGGATTAATACTGTATTGCTTAAAATCGCTTCGTAAATAAGCCATTATTTCTCGTACAAAGTAAAGGATAAAAAATGGTTATTGTGGGTTATTCCTAAGAGATAAACATATACCATCACGGACTTTTTTGGAGACCTTTTTAAGTTGTACAATACTGTAGTACATTGTTTTGATCTATCTTGTAGGATTCAGTCAGCGTTTGCAATGTAAGCGCAAAAAATGTGTTTTTTTACGACCCGACATTAAAAACCTCAAAAATTGTAGCCTATATGTTATTCTGATGTATAAGCTATATTGTGGTAAAGTTTCATTCAAATCCATTCAGTAGTTTTTACGTGAAAGAGTAACAAACATCCATACATCCATACATCCATACATCCATACTTACAAACTTTCGCCTTTATAATAGTAGTAGGATATCTTAGAAAAGTATTGGGTGTAATTAATACGAGTAAAATCTAATCTATCGCTCATTATGTAAATTTAAAAAGAGCAAGTGTATGTATACTATCTATATAAAGCTAAAGAGTTGTTTGTTTGAACGCACTAATCTCAGGAATTACTTTTTCGAATTGAAAAATATTTTTGTGTTGATGAAAGCATTTATCGAGTAAGGCTTTAGGCTATAAAACGTCACGATGCGACCAAAATGTCTATATTTCAATATTATCTTGCAAGAACGACGAGACGCGACCCACGTCGTGTAACGTTAACAGATACAATTTATAATGATGAGGACAAGGTTTGCAAAAATAATTGGTGACGCCCAAAATAACTATTCTACGCGAACGAGATCGCTGGCACAACTATATCATAACGCTACAATTTCAAGCAACATATAAACCGACTCCGAACACACACACATACTACATACGTTAAGTTGCTGTAAAAATTAATGTATTAATTTAAAATGCCCATCCTAGCTCTCAAACAATTATGCGTATAGGTAATGAATACATTTGTTCCAGTGTTGGACTGCGTGGTGTCCAGCTGGGGGGACTGGTCGGAGTGTGACACAGCATGTGGTTCCGGCAGCATGGTGAGGAGTAGGACTGTACTCCAGGCAGCCACGCACGGTGGTCGACATTGTCCCTCGCTTGTCCAGAGACGGGCTTGTCAAGCGCACCATGGCTGTACCGAAGATAGTGATGTGCCCTTACGAGGTACTTTGATTGTGTGATAATGAACCGCACAAATGTTTGTAATAATCTTAACGTAGTGGTTTTTAAATACTGTCTGTAGTTTAAGCGAGGAGGACACATTTAAATAAACACTTTAACGGTTTAAAACGCAATACATTAGTAAAACTTATTTGAAAATGAATTTTAACTTCGGCCCGACGTTTCGGATGCTTTGCAGCAGCCGTGGTCACGGGGAGACTGTTTAACTACTATATCGCGTTTAAACAGTTAAAGTGTTTTATTTAAATGTGTACTACTGTCGTAAACTATAGCCAGTATTTAACATAATACATGTTATACTATATGTATAAACTTCTATTTCATAATTAGTAATTTCTATTACAGAATTACTAAATAAAAAATACGGTTGCAAACTAATATTTTTCACATGTGATTGCACATGATGGCACTATATAAATAAAAAACCGATAATACACGGTAGCCCAATTCGTTAGATTTGCATTAGCCCACGGAACGCTATGGTTGGTATGGCCAGTTCTAGTCCTGCCCGTGTCGTAAATTGTTCAATTGAAGTAGAATTTATTTCAATTTGAAAAAAAAACGGTTTTCAATTATTATCGCATTATGTAGTCTTCGGTTACGTTGTATTTTTTTAGAAGAGACAGCTATGATCCTGCCAGGAGTCCTTTCCGTCAGCCGGCATTCTAATGACACTGTTGACATTAGGAAGAATCTGAGGCTGCGTAACCCGGATGATCCGGAATCAAATTCCCATCGGGAGTGAGTATCTTCCTTCCATATTTACTCGACAATAAAGATAAACCAAGCTGTTTGTGTGTGGGTATAGTGATAGACTGACAAGCGTGCTGTTCACTCGATGGTGGGTGAAATACTCCAGCCATATAACGTCTTAACAAGATGCTGTCGATATTTTGGATTTAGATATTCGCAAATCTATAGACTGACTGTTTTCGTCTGGTGTGTGAACCGGACAAAATGCAACATATTTCAGAAAGAATATAAATTGTTTAGAAAAAAATGTTGGACTCCGTGGGGGTCGAACCCACGACTGGTTGATTCACTCAGCCACTCATTGCTACCATTACACTATCGAGTCCGTCAGTCTGTGTATGTTCGTCTATATTTGTCAAGGATTAAATAATAATAACAAATACTTGTTTTTAAGTAGTTTACGATATATATGTGTTATGTTTGTTTTCTAATTGAGATCGTCACGGCTTTTAGTCTCGTATATTCTCAAATATCGAAATCAAACATAGGACCACACCACATCATACTCAGATAGTATTATTTTATGTCGAACTGCGTATATAATTTGGCTAAGGTTTTCCTACGGACTTCGAATATAAAATAAACAGAATGTAATACAAATGCAAGTCTAACATCTCGGAGAAAACAAAACAATTTTGTTTCTTTAGTTTTGTTTGTGGAAACTTGACCAAGGAAATGTTTTATAAAGAATAGGAGAGCGTTTTACTATTTATAAGTTGCAATTATTTTAAGAGAATGTAAGGTAAAAATATAATTTACGTTTTACCTGACTTGCTAAAATGTAGGTGAGGTAATCTTAAATATGGTGAAACCTGACTAAATTAAGGTTCTTGGAATCTTGAAAAATGGATTTTAAGAATATTAAATGAAAAATAAAAGGCAAATTAAAAGGACTACTTTACTTTAAACATCGAAAAATGATTTTAACATGAATGTTGCATAATTCGCAATTTTATTGAAATTATACGTTTAAAAACATTAATATTTTTCACATGTTATTGCACATGAAGGCACTATATAATTTAAAAATCGAAAATAAATTGAAAAAATTTTGTTCACTCGGGCAGGACTTGGACCCGCCACCTCCACCTTCCCCCCCTTTTCCCCCCCACCAATTGAGCTACCGAGTCCTCCCACCCACCTCCATCGTCATTTTTTCAACTTATTGATACATGCACCTCTCGCGCAATGTAATTTCTACCTTAACACTTTTTTTTTTTTTGGAGTAAATGTCTTATGCTTTTGCGCTTAAGAAATCATTGAAGATGAAATTACAAAGTTATAACGTTTGAAAACATTAATATTTTTCACATGTTATTGCACATGAAGGCACTATTAATTTAAAAATGAAAATAAATTGAAAAAATTTTCGACTCGGGCAGGACTTGAACCGGCATCCAGCTGTCAGCTTTCCGTGCTGTTGCCCCTCCCCTACCAATTGAGCTACCGAGTCCTACACCTCATCGTCGAATTTTTTAACTTTTTGATAAAATGACCTCTCGCGCAATGTAATTTCTACCTTAACACTGCGTATTAAGGCTCAATGTCTATGCTGCAGCTTAAGAAATCATTGAAGATGAAACAATACGTTTATATACGTGTTTTTTATTTTTAATACACGATGTGATTTATATGACAATCAAGATTGATTTAATACACACTACAACGATCAAATTATTATATTAGTTTTATGAAAAACTATCTTGTATACTGTTCGAGAAATCTCCGTGTCAAAATTTCAAACAATAATAAATTAGCAAGAACTGTGATTTTTACGTACTGTTAAAGTCCTAGCTGTAACTAAATATTACGTTTCAACAGATTCGAACCTAGGACATCTCGCGCACTCAATATAATAGCTATTATATACAAAGAAAATATGAGCTAAAGAGATAGTTAAAGTTCAAAGAACCTACGAAAAGCCAAACTACCCTCGCCATTTTTTTACTTTTTTTTTCGTATTAGGTACTGCGTCCAGTTCGAAGTTCTGAAAGTTTCCAAAGCGTGCCACACTGATTCCGATTACAAAGCTCTTCGTGAAGGTAAAGCGATTTTTTTTATTCTCTACCACTCACCTATCAAATGTTTCCTCTGCTGATTCCCTCTTTTTAAAATAAAATATACTTTATTCTCTTTAAAATTATAAAAATTAATTAGATTCGTCAATTTTTTTTTTGTTTGTCTGTCTGTTTGTCGTGATTCTACAGAGTGTTCAAAAAAGCAACATAACTGAGAAGAACATCCAAGAAGCTCAGTCCGGCTTTTTTTTAATGTCTTATAAACTAATACATTGTTGTGAATTTATTAACCTAGGGGGCAATCCATTTTACTGCCAGGCGGTCTTGTCATTAAAGAAATCGTTCAGACAATACTACGCCTTTTGAGACAATCTAAATTTTGTAACTGTTTTAAATTTTTTTATCCATAAATGACACCTCAATTGGCAATGTATTGTACATACGAATACAATTCCCCGCAAATGAATTAGATATTTTATGGAGCCTATATTTGGGGTATAAGTATGCCGATATTTTTAAAGGTATCTAAGAAAAGGTTTATTAGATATTGTCTGTAGTTAACGGTTTAAAACGCTGTTTTATTTAAAAGGTTTATTCGTTTTTAACTGTTTTCTCTGATTTAAATTTGTATAAAAAAATGCTAGCAGGTGGAAGGAAAATAAACGACCTCTTCAAGCCATCTATCTATATTATGCGTTTTGTAAATTATCAATTTTCATGTTATAGAAAATATTTTTATTTTTACCAGGCAACACAATATGCGTTATGTGCGAAGCTGCGGCTCTTAAAAGAGATCTAAAATGGCGCTGTAGCGGCCATGGGGTGTCCGGTCATTCCACCCGCTTCTACGCCCTGGTGGCACCGCATTGTCACGGGAAGTGGATCCGGGCTAAGGACACCCTGGACAAACGGAGCGATTGCTGTACCAACCCGGATTTCATTTTTGTATAAACAATGTAACTTTAAGTCTTCTAGTTTTAAGTAGAGTAACGAACGGGTTTAAGTTTTACGGACAAACTGGAGATTTCATAATTTTTTTTTTGTCAGAGTACCAATGTTTGGTTTTTAATAGTAAATATGATGCACAAATTATTAGTAAATAGTTAATGTGTAAAATAAACGTCGTTTTATGCCCGGATCAAACAAATAGGTATTTAAATACTGTCCGTAATTCGAGTAGTTATATAAAACACTTTAACGGTTAAAAACGCGAAATATATTCGTTAAACTTGTTTATAAATTTCAATAGGGGAGACTGCCTCAAGTTATCAAACACCTAGGACAAAAAAAAAAACCACGCGAGGTTTCGCCAATAGGTACCAACTACGATGGAACAGATGGCGCTAGCGTAGCAGTTTTTACTTTGACATTATAGACACCCTCCATCTTTAGTATCCTCGTGACTACGGTTGCTTCTTGTTGTACGGTTGTCTGAAACGTCGAGCCGTAAATAAAAATAATTTGTAAACAAGTTTAACTAATATACTTCGTGTTGTAAACCGTTATAATGTTTTATTTGAATGAGAATTTTTCACGATGCACCCACTATTTTCCATTAGCCCTTCTTATTGTCTGTCCCACCTTTAGTTATTTGATGGCAGTTTCTGGTGTCATAATAATAAAGTAATATATACCCTCTCTATATATGGTATGTTTACCTGTCTTTCACCTTGATAAACTTACGTTAATTCGAAGAGGAATTTTTACACTAATTTTATTTTATGTAATAGCGTAACACCCAATATCCAAAGCCAGAATAGGTTTTGCCGAGATATTATATGTGAACATTTGATTGTTGGCTATCTTATGATAGACATGAATAAATACCGCTTTGCTTCTTAATAAAGCTCTTGCTCGTTGAACTTCAAACTTTTTATACAACAATCGCTAATAATGCTTAAATTGACACAAAAAACTTTTGATCGATTTCCTATATAACATCATTACAATATCGCTTTGTATCGTATTAAAAATATATACAATACTGCTTTCTGCGTCATATAAATAGACTGATGCAAATTGGTTCAATTTATTCCAAACGTCAGTATCGAATCAACATACCTGTTTTAATTTCAATTCTGTTTTGTATCGCCTTTATCAGTGTATTATTTAACAGTATGTTGTTAAAAGATATTAGGTTTCCAAAATAAGATTTTGTACAGATATTGTAATTCAAAGTTACAAATATGGCAATAATTATATTTGGGTTGAACAAATACGATTTGTGAAGGTAAAAATGTGTATACAGTTTTATTGAGGTAGTTTGGGACGTTACAATGCCATAAGACTATTTTATTATGATGTGGGCCAGGTGTCATGGCCCTATAAAAGCACAGAATACTGAATAAACCAGTAGTCATGTTATATTTCAATAATAACAATTATTCTACACTCTATTTTGTTACAACTACGATTGCAAATGATGAAATTAAAACCGTAAATAAGTTACCTACTTTGTATTGCGCAATGAAGTATCGAATCCACGGACTAGGCTGTTCGTTATAGAACTACTCCAATTTGGATTACTTTTGAAGAATTTTCGAGTACGATTATAGTATCTTGTTTGTTCAGTATTCTGTGTATAAAAGTAACGATAAGTTTGGGCCAGATTTTCCAAATAGGTTAGGTATTATTTTCTTAGATAGTCGTTATGGTTCTTTTGTCCAAAGTTTTCGTTTTTGTAATCGCTTGAAAGATCGTAACAAGATAGCAAAGTAAAGCAATAATCGTAAAGCGCTTAGTTGTTTTAAGTGTATATTTTAGTCTGATAAATAAAATACGCGTGTAAGTTGTGTTAAATTTAATTTTGTATTAATCTTCATTTGAAGAAAACCAATAAAGAGGGCGATTTTGTTAAAAGCAAACAGTAAAAAATAACAGTAGATTATAGAAAATTATTTCTAAGATTATATAAGGCGTTAGAGAATAGAATGAGATTAGTGTAGCATTATAAAAAATACATATCTTATGACATCTGTAAATATTCTTGTTAATTAGAGCTTAATAAACAATTTGCAAAACCGATTTTGTTTTATTTTTATTACGTAGTTGGAAGTTGTTTTCTTTATAACGAGATTTATTCTCTTATATCAATTATCACAGATCCAAAGTATCGAGTATACGAATATCGATTATTTACAATGGATGAGTATTGAGTAGCGAGTACTTTTAATAGCTCATCACTGACGCAAACCGACTGTGAAAAAGTTAATTGTCAGTTAGTTAATAATTGCAACGAAGTAAGTATAATATTTGCTATGAATAAAGATTTATAGCTTAACACTCATATATATATGTATACTATGGTATTTCGGACGTTTATTCACTGTAACCCTTGTATCTAATATCCTTCCTAAGAGAATGGTTACATACAATTTAGGATTGTGATATATAATAAGTCCTACCGAAGTAGAACGTCAAAAATTGAGTTAGACTCATTTGAGTGTCCCCCTCCACGGAAATCTTTAGTAAAAGGCGAAAGATTTATACGTTTTGAAGGGAAACCAGAGTAACGAATTTTTGCTTTTGCTAAGTACTTATGCGAACTAGAAAGTACAACGACACCGCGTTTGAGAATAGTAACTCAGGGGACAGCGCCATCTATCGGCAGAAGGTGTAAGCGGTTCGATTGTCAATACATATAAAAATTAAAGTGCATCGTTACGCACTACAGTAGTAATAAATTGTAAGTTGTAAGTCTTCGTAACGCGTTACGTTACAAAGCGTATTTCGTGTGCGCCTAGGGACTATCGAGAGAAGTGAAAACTTAAATTAATCTAAGTTGAACTATTCAATATTGATAAGCAGTAAGCGTATAGGAAGCTAAATAAACTAGCGTCGTGACGCGTTACGTAACACAGCGGTCTACTATTGGGAAATGTCCTGGTTTGTTAATTTTGTTTCTATCAAATGATTACTGTTGAATAGTTAACATTTCTAGGCAGATTACAGTTTTAGAAGCTTTTGCTTAATCCCCTCAATATATCGAGCGTAGTAAACAGTAGTTTCTAGAGCTCCGTAGCCTTTTAGTCACGAGACTGTACACCAAGAACCGCATTAGCTAGGGTTTTGGAATTTTTCATGATCAAATTTATCAACAAATACTAGAGCGAATTTAAGTTTATTTAAGTGCAGAGGGCCGTTTCCTGCTTTAGCCCCTTAAAAAAATGAAAGGAAGTGTACGGAGAACACAAACTTACAGAAATATATCTAGGTATTAAAGTTGCTTGAATAGACCCCAAGTTATACTGTAAAAGCACCCTATCTAGGATTTATAAGAAACTTTGCGTCAATTGGTGGTGCTTTTCCATAAATTATTCTCTCGCATAAACCGCTATTCAGCACTTCAGAGTTGCCTTCAGACTTCAGACTTCAGACTTTAGACTAACTGCCTCGTATTGGAATGTAGTGAAACCTATTTATGTAGCTTTTATTCTGAGATTTGATTTCTTACTTATTATAAATGTCGTAGGTACAATATAATAGTTTCGCAGTTTAATTAGGGAACACTACACAAAGGGGGACACCAATTCCTGCGTTTTCGTATATGAGCCCCTAAGACTATTATTTTTCTTGTAGTGTTTGTGTAAAACAGAAGTAGACAAATTGCCAAAATTTAAACTCTCTTGCTACTTTGGAGAGACAACGTGGTGAGCGACAGACAGACTGTCAGCAAAATCTTTATCTATACTTATATATTATAAATCTGAAGAGTTTGTTTGTACGCGCGAATCTCAGGAACAACTTGTCCGAATTGAAACATTTTTTTTTGTTGGTTAGAGCATTTATTGAAAAAGGCCTTAGGCTATATAATATAATCGCATTGTAACTATTGGAAGCGCAGAAACAAAGTTAATTTGGATAAAAACGAGGAAAATTATTCAACTTTGTGGACGGCTCAAGATACCAAAATCAAAAATCATTTATTCATGTAGGTAGCTTAGTACACTAATGAACGTCAAAACAGGCAAACATTTTGATTTTGATTTTTTGATTTAAATGTATAAAGATAAAAAGGTTTGCAAATACAAATGTTTATGCCTAAAATAATTATTCTACGCGGACCAATTGGCAGACACAGCTCGCCATTGTGTACATGTTCTCTTTGGCGCAAGAAGAATCGTAAGCAGTGTGATAAAACTAAACAATCAATGATGAGCTAAGAGACATGTAGTAGATTGATGTTAGGTAATTCCTCTAGAATCTAAATGGTGATGGTTTCATTTAATCAGTTTCTAACATACTTTTAACGGTTCAAAACGCGAAGTAATATTAGCATCGCGTCAACATCCAAAGCGATATTAAGGTCGACTCTTAGCGTACTCGAAGTTACAAAGGCCTTTATTTAAAACTGCTTAGGTGTTAATGTTTTTGTGTCATGAAAAGTTTCTTGGCGCGGCTTTTAAGTGCTCTTCATAAATATAATACTTAATTTTTATCTCATCTAGAATTATTAAAATTAATTATTATTATAATTTGATAATTAATAGTTTACCTTAATTTCACGAAAACATAATTTCGTAAAATTACTAATTACGATTAATATTAAAAAATATAAAGTCGAACTTTTATATATATAAAATACTATATGTAGTTAAGGCAAGTAGTACACATTTAAATAAAACACTTTAACGGTTTAAAACGCGATATATATTCGTTAAACTTATTTGAAAATTACTTTTACCTCCGGCCCGACGTTTCGGATGCTTTGCAACAGCCGTGGTCACGGGGAGACTGTTTAACTAATATATCGCGTTTAAACAGTTGTGGATGTGGATTAAAAAGATGGAGGATGTCTCTGACGTCAAAATAAAAATTGCTATACATTGTATATATAAGTATAGTAGTTAACGGTAACGTAGTATGTGTATTTAGTATAGTAATATAGAAATAAGTATAGTTAGTTATTATAAAAGCCTCGCCTATGTACACGTTATTTAAGTCTTTTTGTT